TCTCACTAGTATTCACTTCTGGAAGAGAAAAGCATTGGTGCCCCACATCAGGCTCCTCAACCTTGGGGATTTGTACTGGAGAGAGAACCCCCCAAAAGTCTGGCTTAGAAAATCAATTGGGCTGGTGTCTAAAGGATCCAAAATGCTATAGGAAACAGATTCTCTTTTTAGAGAGCTCATGTAGAATCTCATTTGCTCTGAGATTTGGTGAAAAAAATAGTAGTTTAAAAAGCACCTAGACTGTATGTGAAAGAGATTTATTTGCTTATGTAAATGCACCTGCTGGAGGGGTAGAAACACTTGAAACTCTCCCTGGAGATGGAGGTGCTGGCAGAAGCCAATTTTGCACTCTCCACCTACACTGCTAGCACCCGTGGGTGAACTTGGATGTGAAATCCCCTCCCCCAACTGCCTTACTAAGACAGAAGAGGCAAGGAGATACAGCTTTATATGTCTGCCTTGCTGAAGCTGGGGAGCACTGTGGTTGCAGTACTCCACACTCCTTGACTGAGGTAGTTGGGGTAGGCAAGTGTGAATAACCATTTTCTTGCTCCCGGCTAAAGCCAGTATGTGCACACAGACAAGGCAGTCTCCCACTGCATTTCTGAAGTTCATGGGCATGGGCAATAAAGACATTTTCCTGCTGCTTTTCTGATGCTGGTGAGTATGCTCTCTCCCCTACAGTCTCCAACTGACTAGCTAAAGCTAACAGGCATGGACAGTCCACAAAGTGGATGCTCCTTGATTACCTGGTTCTGGTGGCCAAAAGGGGCTGGTGTTCCACAGGAATACAATAGTCAGAAAGATAGTTCTTGTCAGGCTACTACCACCGGGGCACTGAACAAATAAAAGACTGAAACCCAGTATTCCTGTGAAAAAGGCCTATTATCTTGGGGCTTTAACCTGAGGGACAAGCTTTAGACTCTCATGTCTCTATAGGCCAATAAGGCACTTCCAGGGAAAGGAAGGAGGGAGACATCATCCTTGTGCACCGCTTTGGCTTTAATATAGCCAAAGAGACCTCCCAAAAAGGAGCTTATGCACTCATGTGGAGCCCCAATACTTCCAAATATCACTCAGGGAACATCTCTAGATCCCCTGGTCTGGAGGCCAGGAGGGATTACAATTGTAGCCCCACAGTACTGTATATATCACATAATTTAAAAGCTGCTTCCTGAGGGTCTGGCTTACCATAAGCCCAGAACTACATGTTAAATGAGATTTCTCTCTTTGGAACCTTGACAGATCTTGGCATGCCTTCAACAACTGGGACATATCAAGAATAAAACAGGCAGTTTCAACAATCACAAAGGTTTGAGAGATAACTAAGAGGGCAAGATTGAATGAAAAGTATCATTACCTACTCAAGGCCACTCCTTCAAGACTAAAAAAAGTAGCTGTTTGGCCTAACACACACAAACAAATACAAAGAGTCAAGCAAAATGAAGAAACAGACAAATATGTTCCAAGTGAAAGAATAAAACAAACCTCAGAAAAGAAAAAAGATAAGTAATCTATCTTAGAATTCTAATAAAGATTTCAAAGTCATTGTCATAAAGATGGTCACTGAACTCAGGAAAAGAATGGATGAGCACAGTGAAAACTTCAATGGAGAGATAAATTATTAGAAAGTACCAAACAAAAGTCACAGAGCCAAAGAATACAATACAATAAGTCAACTGAAAAATACACTAAAGGGGTTTAACAGCAAACTGGGTGAAACAGAAGTATAGATCAGCAAGCTGGAAGACTAAGCAGTGGAACTCATCCAGAGAAACAGAAAGAAAAAGAAATAAGAAAAATCTAAGGAACTTCTAGTCTAGTACTAACATTTGCACTTTAGGGGTCCCAGAAGGAGAAGAGTGAGAGATAGGGGCAGGGACCTTATTTGAAGAAAGAATGGCTGAAAACTTCCCTAACCCATGGAAGGAAACAGAAATATCCAGGTTCAGGAAGTGCAGAGAATTCCAATTAAGATGAGCCCAAAGAGATCCACACCAGGACACATTATAATTAAAATGTCAAAAGTTAGATAAAGAGAGAATTTTAAAAGCAGCAAGAGAAAACAAATTGCTGAATACAAAGGAAACTCCAGAAAGCAATCAGAAGATTTCTCAGTAGAAAATTTGCAGGCAAGGAGGAAGTAGGATGGCATATTAAAAATGTTGAAAAGAAAAGCATTCAGCTAAGAATACCTGACCTGGCAAGATTATCATTTAGAATTGAAGGAAAGATAAAGAGTTTTCCAGGCAAACAAAAGCTAAAGGAGTTCATCACTATTAAAGTAGCCTTACAAGAAATGTTAAAGAGACTTCTTTATGCTGAAAAGAAATAGCACCAATTAATGATAAGGAAACATGCAAAAGTAAAAATGTCACTCAAAAGGTAAATATATACTTAAGATAATGGTTTAATCACTTATAAAGCTACTAGGAAGTTTCAAAGACAAAAGTGGTAAAATGAACGAAAACTACAATAATTAGTTAAGGGATACATAAAATAAAAAGATGTAAAATGTGACTTCAAGAACCTAAAATGTAGTGGGAGATTAGTAAAATTGTAGAGTTTTGGAATGTGTTCAAATTTAAGTTGCTATAAACTTAAAATAGACTGTTCTATACATAGAGGGTGTTATATGTGAACCTCACAGTAACCACTAAGCAAAAACTTATAGTAAATACTCAGAAGAAAATGAGAAAGGAATTTAAATGTAACAGTGAAAAAGGGCATCAAACCACAAGGGAATGGATAGAGAGAAGTAGAAAAGAACAGAGAAGAACTACACAATTGGCCAGGAAACAAGTAACAAATGTCAGTAAGTGCATACCTATCAATAATTACTTTAAATATAAATGGACTAAATTCTCCAGTCAAAAGAAATAAGATAGCTGAAGGGACTAAAATAAAAATAAAAAACTCCAAGATACATCTATATACTGCCTACAAGAGACTCACTTCAGAAGTAAGAACACACACAAAATAAAAGTAAAGGGATGAAAAGAGTTATTCTATGAAAATGAAAATGAAAAGAAAGCTGGTGTAGCTATACTCATATCAGACAAAACAGACTTTAAGACAAAGACTGTAATAAAAGACAGTGAGGATGTTACATAATGATAAATGGGTCAGTCTGGCAAGAAGATATAACATTTATAAATATATATGCGTCCAACATAGAAGAACCAAAAATGATAATAATAAGAGACTTAACACCCCACTTCCATCAATGGATATTGATGTAGATCATCCGACAGAAAATCAATAAGGAAGCATTAGCCTGAAATGACACATTAGACCAGATGAACTTAATAGAGATGTACAGAACATTCCATCCAAAAGCAGAATAAATATTCTTCTCAAGTGCACATGGAACATTCTCTAAGACATATCACATGTTAGGCCACAAAACAAGTCTCAATAAATTTCAAAAAGCTTGAAATCATATCAAGCATCTTTTCTGACCACAATGGTATGGAACCTAAAAATCAATTACAAGAATAAAACTGGAAAAACTACAAATACATGGAAATTAAACAACATGTTACTGAATAACTACTGGTTCAGAGAAGAAATCAAAGTAATTTAAGAATGCCTGGAGATGAATGAAAACAGAAATGCAACATACCAAAATCTATGGGATACAGCAAAAGTGGTTCTAAGAGGGAAGTTTATAGCAATATAGGCCTACTGGTAAGTAGAAACAAGAGAAATATCAAGTAAATAATTTAACCTAAAGGAACTAAAAAAAGGAGAAACTGAAAGTAAACAAGTAGGGCTACATCAAACTAAAAAGGTTCTGCACAGCAAAGGAAACCATGAACAAAATGAAAAAACAACCTAGTGAATGGGAGAAGATATTTACAAATAATATATCCAATAAGGGGCTAATATCCAAAATATATAAAGAACTCACACAACTCAGTAACAAAAAAACCAAACACTCTACTTAAAAAATGACCAAAGGATCTGAATAGACATTTTGCAAAGAAGACATACAGATGGGCAACAGACACATGAAAAACTGCTCAAAATTACTAATCATCACTAATCATCAGGGAAATGCAAATAAAAACCATAATGAGGTATCACCTCACATCTGTCAGAATGACTATTCTCAAAAAGACAAGAAATAACAAATATTGTAAAGGATGTGTAGAAAAGGAGAACCTTGTGCATTTTTGTTGGGAATGTAAACTAGTGCAGACTTTATGAAAAATAGTAAGGAGGTTCCTCAAAAAATTAAAGATAGAACTATCATGTGATCCAGAACTTCTACTACTGAATAACTATCCAAAGAAAATGAAAACACTAATTCAAAAAAACAAATATTTTCATGTTCATTGAAGAATTATTTATGATAGTCAAGATATGGAAACAACCTCAGTGTCCATGGATAGATGAATGGATATCCGATCATATATATGTGTGTGTATACACACACACACACACACACACACACACAATGGAATTATTCAGCCATTAAAAAGAGTGCAATCTTGCCATATCTGGCAATGTGGATGGGCCCTGAGGATATTATGCTAAGTGAAGTAAGGTAGATGGAGAAAGACAAATACCCGATTTAACTTATATGTGGATTTTAAAAAACAAAAACAAGCAAGCAAACAAAACTTGTATCTCTTAGATACAAGAACTGATTGGTTGTTACCAGAGGGGAAGTGATAGGGAGAGTGAAATGGGTGAAGAGGATCAAGAAGTACAGACTTCCGGTTATAAAATAAATAAGTCATGAGAATGTGTAACATTGAGAATATAATCAATAACATTGTATTAATTTTGTATGGTGACAGATACTAGACTTTTTATGGTGACCATTTTGCAATGCACACAAGTGTAGAATCAGTATGTTGTGCTCTTGAAACTAATATAGTATTGTATGTGAATTAAATCCCAATAAAAACAAAATTGTGAGAGAAGCCTAGAGGTTTACCTAAATTATTAACTAATTTAAATCTCTATTTCTATTTTGCTGCAGGAGGAAATCCACTTGTAGTGTCTCAGCCCATGGACCAATGTCATATTGACTGAATAAAACAATTTGGCTTGGAGGGAGTTTGATACATGCTGGATGAGAAAAAGTGTCTAAGCAGCTTTGAGGTTGGTCAAACTTGGATTTGAGTCCCCACTCCAGCAATGATTTTTAATGTACACTTGGTGAAGTTGCCGACCCTTTCTTGAATTTGATTTTCTCTTCCTTTATAAATGGGGTTCTATGGGGTATTGTATTAGTTTCTTCTGGCTTTTGTAACAAATTAGTACAAACTCCATGCCTTAGTAAACCCAGAAATTTATTCTCTCAGAGTTCTGGAAGCCAGAAGTCCAAAGTCAGTATTACTGGGCTAAAACCAAGGTGTGGGCAGGATGATGCACCCCATGGAGACTCTCGGGTAGAATTTCTTTTGCATCTTCCAGTTTCTTGTGGCTATTGGCATCTCCATTGCTTGTGACCACATCACTCTAATCTTTGCTTTCTCTTCTTTTGTCCATATGATCTCTTTGGCATCTTTCTTATAAAGACACTTGTGATTGCTTTTAGTACTAACCCAGATTTTCAAAATAATTTCAGGGCCCCTGGCTGGCTCAGTTGGAAGGGCATATAACTCTTGATCTAAGGGTTGTAAGTTTGAGCCCCATGTTGGGTGTAGAGATTACTTTTTTAAAAATCTTAAAAAAAAATAATCTCACCATCTGAAGATCCTTAATTTAGTCATACCTGCAAAGACCCTATTTCCTAATCAGGTAACATTTACACTTTCCATAGATTAGGATGTGTATATGTTTGGGTGGGGAACATTTTTCAGCCCACTAAAGGTATCCTCTTTGGGTTGATATTACAATGTCTGGCATATTTTATGAATTCAGAAACCTTCCCTTTCCCATTACTTTTCCCTCTCTTCCTCCAAATTTCCATAATTATCCTCTGCAGCACCACCTTCCACCTCTAAGCAAGATAAAAGTATAAAACAGGCTATGCCTGCCCTTGACATCCCTATGCCTTTCAGTCTTTCCTTTCATAATTAGTCAAAAACATTTCTTTAGGAATCACTAAATGCAATGCCTTAGACTTTAGGTGGCATAGAAGAAGCAGAAGCAGAAGCAGAAGCATTCCCTATCCACAATAACTTATACTCTGGGGTGGGAGATAGGTAATTAAACAAGCACTTGTAAAGTAAGGAGGAAGAATTTATGGCTTACACAGAAGTATCTGCAATGCACAGTAAGTTAATAAAGGAAACAATGATTGCTACTGAGAGGTAGAGGCCAGAGAAAGTATCTTGGAGCCAATGAAATTTGAACTGGGCCATGAAGATAAGAAGGATGCCAATGGGTTAACAATGTTGAAAGAGTTTTCCAGACAGGGGAAAGACACACAGGAGAAAGAGCTCTCTCTTATTTCTCTGGAAAATCACTATCTTCTCACTTCCCTCTGGCTGCCTTAAACATTCCCCCTGGGTCAACCTATCAAAACCTGCTTTCTCCTCAGTTCACAATGTGGGAAAATATCCTCTCCTCTAAATCTCCCTCCAATTAGCTGCTTCAATCTAGGTGTTGAAAGGAAAATAATAAGATTAATCTAATTCGCTATATGGTGTGTGTGGCTGATAGCTTCTAAAATCCCCTAGAACAAAAAGAAGAGTTTCTTAACACCAATAAATTTCTTTTGGGATTTTATGCCATGTGTAAAATTATATCCAGGAAGAGTGTGTTCCTAAATCACTTCTATTAAGGAAGATTACTCTAAATGAAGAAAACGATAAGCATAGGAAATATTCCAAATGGTAAAAGTGCCTAATTAAGCAGCAAAGATTTTGAGCTATCGAAGACCACTTCATTATTTTTTATTCTCCATCATGCCAATGTTGTCAGAAGAATTCTGCCTCCCAATTTCATCCCTACCCTACTCTCCAAAAAGAGGAAAGAAAAAAATCATTTTTAATTTTCTCTTTGCATGTTTTAAGAGGCAACTTGGGAAGCAATGGACAGAAACAAATCAGGCACCCCCCCCTTTTTTTTCTCCAGCTAATTCAGAATGAATTGGATTTACACAAGCAACCGTGCTTAAGCAAAACCGTTCCTATGGTTACACAGAAGGCTTTCTAAATGTGGCACAAGATGCAGGCAGCCAAAATGACTTGACTGTTTATGTTAAATATGAAGTCTATTCCCTATTGAAATTTAATGATCTACTAGCTGCATTTTAGCAGCTTGCACCCTGATAAAATTAACATTTCGAATACATTTGGAGAGATAAATTGCTTTAGCAATTGGCGAGTATTCACTCATTTTTATTTGATCACATCAGTGATTCAGTTGAAAGCATTTCCCCCTGCACTATTAGAAATTGGGTCTACAAATTATCCTCATCTCTGGGCCTGCAAGTCCCCAAACACATTTTATTATCTTTTTGCAGGTTTGTTGGTGCCAGATGTTAAACCTAACACTTGGTAAGAGAGCTCGGAAAAAAATATGTATTTTTTTTCTTTTACAGGAACCAGGCAGAGTAGGATCAACACTGTTTTCTTGTGGCACCTCTTGAGCCATTCAGTGGTTCTCAAATATCCAACAAGGTGAGTGAGCAGTTCAGACAGGGTGAAGTCTGTTCCTCACCTCCCCCTGCTTCTCCTGAATGAAAAAGACAATCTGTCTGTTTTGAAAAGCTGACAGGAAATTGGAGCCTGGAAGGATATATTCACTGCATATTTTAGCTGACACCACTCAAATTTGCTACATAAGGGCGTTCCTTGATGTCTGTTAGTAGGAACCTCCCATTCAGAAAAAAACAGAAAATGAAAACAGCCTACAGGATGCCAGCCTCATGTATTTACATATTTAGTTTAATTCAACTAATATTTATTAATCATCTTGTATAGACTAGGCACCATGTAAAAGACTGTGGTTATAGCAATAAAACACATAGTGCCTGAGCACAAAGCTCTTGGTCAAGTAGAGAGATAGGCAATAAATTATGTTATGCCGTGTCTTTCTTCTCAGTAGCAGACTATGTGTTTCTCTAAATCATCTTCACTATCTCACACCAAACATAAGAATTTTACAAAAGATTTGAGTTATCAGAGAAGGATTATTATACACATATCACTTGGAGTACCTCGCTAATTCATTCCCCCTAAATCACTTCTCAGTATAGTCACCCACTGGGAAATCCCTTCTTCCTTCCCTCTTTCCTACAGGCCCCCAATTCATTGGTATCTTTCTCTCTCTTGTGGGACCTCACTGTCAAAACACATTCAGGCTCAGAAAAGCTGTCAGCTTTTCTATCCAGAACCCAAATCTTCATTTTCCAGAGCCTAGGACTGTGAATGTCGAGACCTTAATAGATGAATTATATGAAATTCAGCTGCAATGCACTTAAATCCCTGAAACAGAAATTTATCAAAACTTCTCTAGCCTTTCCTCATTAGAGGCAAAATATTTCATTCTAAATAGCACACTAGACAAGCTGGACATTTAATAGTAGTTTAATTATAATTTATCTCTTGAGATGAATGTACTTAACAAATTTGACACTTGAGAATTTTAATCTGTTTGAGGAAATTTATTTTGAATTGGCAAGTAGAAATACATTCATCACATATTGATTCCCTTGTCATGGTAATTCCCAAATTTAAGTTACCTCTTAGAGCTCTAATTGGTCATTCTAGAAGTGATTAATTACTATGATCATTGTTATTAATATATTTTTTGAAACTTTTAGTAAATTTTCCCTGTAGAACATTCATTGAATAAATAAAAGATGTAAATTTGCCCTTTTATTCTTGAAAAAATGGCTTTAATATCTATTCTTTCAGAATAAGTTGCAAGGGACTGGTATCCAAATATAAGAGACTTATTGAAATATGTGTCTGTAGGCTTGACAGATAATGTCCCAAAGTCTGACAGTGAAATGAGTTTTGAAAGTGATCCATACCTTTTGAGAGAGTAAATCCTAACAAGTCAGTATAGTTCAGAGGAATTTTACTCTGCATTTTATACCTTGCTTTCCCCAAATCTCAATCCTCTAAGAATATAGGGTTTCCTGGAAAAGAATTGATAGTTTGTTAAAAGTAAAGTACTGAGAAGTCTCCCAAAAATCCAGCTTCCACACAATGAATTATTCACCAAAATTCTACTTTCTTTTTTACTGTTTATAACCAGTCCACAAATCCACTAGAATATTGTTTAGATAAAGATAAGAACTGAGCTAAATATAAGTTTCTTTTTCCTGAGAAAATGGATCTTCATACAGAGCTCTGGAATCGTAGAACTTTGATAAAAAAACTGCAGAGTTGGATCTTTGTTATGCAGGAACGACGTTTGTGGGGGATAAAGACTGAGAATAGTTTAGTAGAGGAGTGAAATGATCAAACTTGATTTTGGACAGATGAGGAGAATATTACTTAGCATCTCACTCCTTGACAACATGGGGTTATGAGCACGAATGTTATGGCAAGTCAGAGAGTTTCATGGCTTTAGCTGCAGGAGACAGGTAGGTAACCAGATGCCAAGAAGAGCATACGTCTACAAAAAATTGTTTTTTCAAGAAATGATGAATCATTTTCCAGTCCGAAATTCATGATTTCAGATTCAAACAGGAATGTTTATTATGCAGTATCTTGGAAGACATATATTTGCTCTTTCCATCCTTGTTCTCTGCCCTTTTTATTAAAAAAAAAGTGGGGTGGGGGAAGAAAAATGAATGCCAGATAAATTTTAAAATGATGACTCTAAAATATTGATGCCTCAAGTGCAAATATGAGGAACTTTAATAATTGTTTCCACTATGCAATGAAGGAGATTTAAATAATGTCTTCAAGGGGTAGAAACAGTTAATTTTCCAGGGCTGATTTCCAGAATTCAGGTCAACAATCCATGCATAACATAATGTAAGATGTATTTAAATACCCAAAAGTAATTTCATTAGGCAGTGAACCACAGTGTTGTTCCCGTTTGTTCTTACTCAGAACACACTCACCAGTTCACTCTGCATCCATCACTTTTATTTTGTATCAGATACTCATTGTCTGAAGTAATAATGGATAAGTGATCCAAAGAACAGAGTATTGCTTTGAACTGCTGACACACGGAAGAATGCAGCATTATGCAGGATTGTACTGCTAGCCAAAATACCCATGTTTAGCTCTAGCTCTTTCCAGAAAGCATGCCCTTGTTCCCCCATTTCTGTATATTATGCATTCTTTCTTAAAAAAAATTTCTTAATGTTTTATTTATTTTTGAGAGAAGGCAGGGGAGAGGTAGAGAGACAGGGGAGACACAGAATCTGAAGTAGGCTCCAGACTGAGCTGTCAGCACAGAGCCCAACGCAAGGCTCAAACTCATGGACTGGGAGATTATGACCTGAGCCAAAGTCAGACGCTTAACTGACTGAGCCAACCAGGCGCCCCTCTGTATAATAGGTATTCTACAGTGAGTGATTAAAAATGGAAGTTTTTCTCATTTTGTTCAATAGAATGGGAAATGGTATATGATATATTTAATTTTAATCATACTACTCCGTAGACACATTTTTAATGAACTGTGTTTGAAAGGCTGCTTTTTATTTGTTTAGTGTAAAATATCTTGAAATAGTAACTAATATGAGACAAAAATGAGACAGTGCTTTTGTATTTTTATGTCAATTGTTTGGGATGCAAACTTACATTATGTAAAATTAAAGTCCTCGGGGGCAGGGGGATCTATCTCACCCAAACACCACTGACTAATCAACTAAAAATAGAATCAAAGAAGCCCCTTCTACTTTGCAAGATCTGGATTTGTGGTTATTTTCTAATGACCCACATTCAGCACAACGGCACAAACCCAGGGGAAATCTGTATATGACATGAGACCAGTTGCATGAATGTTGTGGCAAAATGGACATAGTTTACTACAGAAAACGGAGAAGACATTTTTTCCTTGTTGCCACAGAGGTAAAAATGTGTGTGTGTGTGTGTGTGTGTGTGTATCTGTGAGTGTATGTCTGTGTCAGTATCTGTGCATATGCGTGTGTGTGTGTGTGTGTGTGTGTGTGTAGATAGATACAGATATGTGTAGGCATCATTTTTTTTTAATTTTTTTTTTAACGTTTATATATTTTTGGGACAGAGAGAGACAGAACATGAACGGGGGAGGGGCAGAGAGAGAGGGAGACACAGAATCGGAAACAGGCTCCAGGCTCTGAGCCATCAGCCCAGAGCCCGACGCGGGGCTCGAACTCACGGACCGCGAGATCGTGACCTGGCTGAAGTCGGACGCTTAACCGACTGCGCCACCCAGGCGCCCCTGTGTAGGCATCATTTTTAAGAGATGCAGATTGTAGATGTAGTCTTGAGTTCAGGGAGGAGATAGTGAAGACCATGACTAGTATGGAGTTGTGTGAGCTCTTCCCTTGGCACACGGTAAGACACACATTTTGGTTTTTGCTGCCACTTGTTTGCATAAAATATAGGGACTATGTCTGTGTCTTTGATGATTTGGGAACTTGAATTTTGGACAATAATATGGTACCCCATAGCCTAGATCCAAGTTTTAGTTTGCAAGCTAAACAGAAGACCCTGAATGTGAGAGGAATGGGGAAAAGGCCAAATTACAACTGTTGCGTCAAGTGGGTGGAATGAAAAAGGATGTGCAGCATTGTAAAATTGCATGTGTAGCTGAAAACTACTGGCCTCTAGCCTTAAAGTTGTGGAAGATTACATAAAATGCATTGTTAACCTCATGGAATTATGCCTGACTTACTAAATATGAGTATTATAATTTGTCTTTCCAATCCTAAAAGTTCAATGTGTCCATTATTCCATTGTGGTTTCTTGAAAGTTCTTTCTAGTTGAGTTATAGACAATGGCTGCTGTTCTATATTTATACTTATGAAAAGTCAGAAACATTCCCCATCAATGCTTTGAAATTCCCTGGCTATCTTCTAGAAAAATACCATCATTTGCAATAACAAAAGTCACTAGGTTTCAATCATAAAAACTTATCTCTTGACTTCTGACATCAGTTATAATTTCAGTTGGATGTTTTGCTGCATGATAAGATGAAATGAATATAATTAATTTTAGTGTTGATAATGTTGAAATATTTGGAGGCATTTTCCTGTGAAACTAACTTCCTTTCAGCACCCAATAGCTACTATTTTCCATTATGGTAAAGAAAGTTCTGTTGGCCTTTATAATTAGGAGAAAATGACACTACTGCCTTCCCATCACAGGAGGATTCTTACTTGTTTCTCCATTAGTGTGAATAGATTTTCATTGATCCATTTGCACTCTGTTACTTTGTCTCTCCTGTGGTTGCAGGCACTGTTTCTGAAACTTTCACCAGGGTAGAAGGAGAAGTGTAGATAGCTGAGTACTACCACATGCTCTGCTGGAAAGTGACCTGGCTCTGACATTTTCCAGTTATCTGGATAAGTCACTTAACCGGTCAGGCCTCAGCTTTCTCCTCTCAACTGAGTTACTTGGAATAGATTATTCTATGTCCATATAGAATTTTTTAAAAATGTATGTGAGCCATATTTTTGCCTCTCCCTTGCCCCAATTTTATTAAGAAAACCTTCATACATAAAGAGAGATAAAAGAATAATAAAATGATCAGTTATACATCCCTTACCTATATTTAAAAATTGTTAATAATTTCCCATTTGTTTCTATTTTCATGAAACATTTAAAAGTAATTTGCAGACATCATGACACTTTACTCTTAAGTATTTCAGCATGAATCTCCTAAGTGTACCATTCTCCAACATCACTGTAATACCTTTATCACAACTAAAAAAAAAAAAAAAAGTAACAATAATTACCTAATAGCTTTTCTTATGTAAATCAAATTCAAATGTCCCATCTGTCTCAAAATTGAATTTTCTATTCCCTTTTGCCCCACCTCCACTTAGGATCCAGTTTTTTTTTTTCTTACATTACTTATAGTTGTTATTCATGACAACTTACAGTGTCATAGATTGCATGGGCTTTCACATGATGGTAGTTTTTCATTCAGTAGCAGTTGATTGAAAAAATACATAAATGAGAAAAATGAATGAATGAATAAATGAATGAATGAATGAATGAGGATACCTAGTATCTGGTAGTTCTTTAATATTTCCTTGCTGAATACATGAATTTATTAATATTTTTAGGTGACATTGCATTTTACTAAACACAACTGCAGCTGAATATAGTTGCAAAAAAACAAGACAATTCTGGGTAAAAGGCATTTTTAAGTTCAGTCCACAGACTCTAGTAATCGCTAATGTGATTTTGATCACTTACTATGTACCTGGTGTGGAGCCAAGCACTGAGTATTAGCTCATTTAATCTTCATAACAAGCCCACAGGGTACCATTTTATAGATGGAGAAACTGGGCATGTTAAGTATTTTGCTAATGATTTCAGAGTCCATAAGAGAAATAATCTATATATAAACCTGAGCTTATCACAAATACTATAGTGCTTTGCAAGACAAGCTTGCTGCAGTTCACCCTCAGCCCCATCTAGCAGATAGCCTGGTATCTCTCTGTCCACTCAACTGCCCCAGAAGAACCACTATCAAACACTTAGCTTAATTATTGCTGTGGCTTTAAGGCAACTCATATCTCTGTGAGGAAGCCCTTTGAAATACAAAGGATCAGTGCACAGTTTTTTTGTTCAGAAAGATCTTTGAGCAAGGTCATGTCTGTTTCCTGAATGAATGGGGTTAGGATAGGAAAACTGGAGAGTTTCCCAGCTCAAAGAGAGCCAAGTTTTCACTGTGTCATTTCATTCTTCCCTTTGAAGTAAATTCCCAGAAAATCAGACACACCCATATCCAAACTTAAGTACAAAACACATCCTACAGCCAACTGGCCATGATTCAGGGAGTATGCCACCATTTTGGATTGCCTGTACTTTTCTTCCCTTTCATTAGTGAGGATAATCGCATGTTTCCTGTAACTTCAAAAAAAATGCAGATTAATCCAGTACAGGCATATCACTGTAAAGGATCCTAAATTGTAAAGAGGATAAATCAGAAAAAGGAAGAGATCAACTTTACTAAACATCTGATCCCTTCACAGCTGCAATTCAGTTTGGTCTGTTCTTTCAACCTGCCATTATAGACTCTCTCTTATTTTTGTGGCTTCATTTCCCATGAAGTAAATTTTTATTTAAAATTTTTTTTTAATGTTCATTTTTTTTTGAGAGAGACACAGAGCATGAGTGGGGGAGAGGCCAAGAGAAGAGGGAGACACAGAATCCAAAGCAGGCTCTAGGCTCTGAGCTGTCAGCACAGAGCCGGATGCAAGTCTCAAACTCACGAACCACGAGATCATGACCTGAGCCAAAGTTGGGTGCTTAACTGACTGAGCCACCCAGGTGCTCCATGAATTCTTATTATTGATTCTGTAAGTTAGTGGTCTGCTCACTTAAAATAGCTATATTTATACTCTTAAGGAGAAAGTCCTTTCTAAAAATCCAAGTAGATGGATTGAAAAAAGAAAAAATAGCCCCCAGGAAAATGTCGGGCCAGCAGTTGGCCTTCTTTGTGGAATTAACTTCAAACCTCCTAACACGTTTTATAAACACATGAATGAACTAAATTAAATGTCAACAAAAGTCAAAATTAATCATAATAGTGATCAATACTATGTATGAGAAAGACTTGTTCATATGGATATAAAAGCAGTCTGTGAGACACATATTTTTAGATGCCTTATAAACTAAACTTATGGAGAAGAAATCACACAAGGTTTGACCACAGATGAAATGTGGATCAGTCCCACAACTTTCTAGTCACCTAATTTGTAAGTGCCCTCAATGCCTCCCATTCTGGGCACTCAATAAATACTAAACAGGGCAGCAATTTCCTTTCCTGTCTAGTCAGGGTATCATTATTTCTGTACAGTCTCTGAGCTAGTGAGCACATAGAAAAACACAGTTCACCACAGCTTGAAATATGTCTTTCGCTCTCCCACCTCCTCTTTTCTGTGTGCCTTCAGTTGCTGTAAAACCTTCTGGAAATCTAAGAATGTTAGCTCTCAGTTACCACTTATTAAACCTTAACCTTTCCTCTCCCAAATGCCAAGTCCTAGCAGATATAATCAGCGTATTTTATTCTGCCCTTTCAATCAGCCGTTTGGTGATGTTGATTTGCTGCTAAAGGAAGTTTATAAAAAAAAGAAACCCACTAGCTTTTGAACATGTCTCCGTTCCTTAAGGAGAATGTCATTTTACGTAACTGTGTGTCAGGATGTTGTCAACAGTTGCTTTCTCCATTTTGGAGGTCCTGGGGGAGAGCTCACTTGTAACTTTCACATCTCTTGTATTTATTAAAGCACAAAATACAAATCATTAACATCCAAATATACTTATTACTTTGGCACTGAGCCTCCTTTCATGCTGCTGACCAGCCATCTCTGTCACTATGCACCATGATGCGAGTCCTATGCTGGAACATTCCTTTGGTTTCTAGGATGCCACACCCACTTTCTTTCCTTTTCAGCCTCCTTCATTGACCCCTCCTCTCTCCTCTAAACGTTTAGAGGACACCGAGTCCTCTAACACTAAGTGTTTTCGTGTTCAATTCTCCAGCTTCTCCTCTCTAGGGACATTTGCTCCTTGGGACTCCTCATCTCTCCAGAACTACATATCCAAAACATCTCATTTTTTTCTTTCCATTTTGGAGTTCTGAGCTCCAGATTATTATACTCCTTATTCAACATCTTGACTGAAAATCTGTAAGGTTTTATAGACTTACTACAACAAAAAGAGAATTTTTTATGATTTCTCCAAAAGTACACTTCCTCTTGGGGTGCCAGGGTGGCTCAGTCAGTTAAGTGTCCAACTCTTGAGTTTTGCTCAGGTTATGATCTTGGGGTCATGGGATGGAGCCCTGTGTCGGGTTCCACACTGGGTGTGGACCCTGCTTGGGTTTCTCTCTCCTCTCTCTCTCAAAATAAATAAACTTTTTTTTTTTTAAAGTACATTTCCTCCAGGCTTCCCATTTCAATAAAATCTGCTACCATTCAACCAGTTGGTCAAGCCAATATCATAGGGGCATCCTTGGTTTCTTTATTTCCTTCCTTTTCCATATATACTACAAGTGCTACCATCACTTTCTCTGAAATATATCCTGAAGTTGCTCCCTTCTGTCTCCAGTGATAGGACCCTCACCCAAACTACCATCATCTCTTGCCATTAACTACTGAAGAAACCTCAGGCTGGTTTCTAGCTTCAGTCTTTCCCCTCTACAGTCTGTACACCTGAGTGATTTAAAGCATAGATGCATATAAGATGACATAACTTCCTGGTCAAAACTCTAAAATGGCTTCCCATTAGAAGTCGAAGAAAACACAAACTTCCTGACCATGGCCTACAAAGTCCGCATGGCCTCCCACCTCCCATCCGTTGCCACTTTCCCTTCACTCACTGGGCTGCAGCCACCCTAGCCCACTTGCTTCCCTCCAAACACATAAAGGCCAACCCTGCCTCATGGCCTGGTACTTGCTTCTTTCTCTGCCTGGAACACTCTTTCCTCTGATTTCCACATGGCTCCTCCTTTACATCATCCCGGTCCTTACTGAAGTATCATCTCAGAGAAGTTTCCCCCTTTGAAACTGCCTCTCCCCCCACGTCTCCAGTTAATCTCAAACTCCACATGCTATTTTACTTTTCTTCATGGCACCATTACTGCTTGGACATATTTCATTATTTTTTAAGCAGTCCATTGCTTGCCTCCTCTACTAGAATGGAAGCTCAGTGAGGACAGTGACTTTGCCTATCTTGTTTAGACAAAACGTCCTGTGTCCCCAACATTTGGAATGGTGACTGGCATATGATAGTCACTTAATAATATCTGATGAATAAATGAGTAACCGGTCAGAAGTCCTCCGTAAATAAAATAATCTAATCCATCATGTGACTTGTTTCATTGTTCTTTATGAATTGTGCTATTTGTATATTTGTTTGTTTTTATATTAGTGGTCCACTAATTTCAAAAAGGATATACCCATATTCTTACAGAGAAACCCTTCCTAGAAGTCTGGGTGGATGTGATTTAACAATAGCAAAAAAACAAACGAAAACAAAAACTGTTGGTATTGCTAAAAATTTGGATTTATATTGTCACTCAGTCACCTGAAAAGGCCTATTTTTTTGTCCAAATCTCTAAATGATCATGGCCATGAGGCTTAAACGTTAATGTTCATAGTAATCAGCTAGGGAAACTGGCCGGTAAATCTGGTATTCGGTTCTAAATCTTGATTTGTTGACAAGCCCCCAGGTGATGTTGATGTAACTGCTCCTTAAACAGTTTTCAGAAATACCGGATTGTGGGTTTTGTGATTCCTTTCATAATTTTGAGAAAAATCGATACGTACCTATGTGATTTACCTCAAATTGAGAACCAAATTTTGTCACTTAGGTGCCGGTGCTGGGTTCCCAAAGAGCACATCTTAGTCATGTGAGGCATCTGTCAACTATAGGGGAGCCCAGGTGAGAGGTAAGTTGAAAACAAAAACCTTTTGGAATTCTGTTGCAAGATCGCATGGGGAGTATAGGTAAAGAAGCAGAGACAGAGCCAAATAAACCAGAAGACCAAGAAGACAAGAACAGGAGGACAAAAGAAGGCTAGGAGGGGAGCAGAGATTTTCCTAAATGAGACTAGAGTTCTTCAGAAACTGCCTGGGGCAGGTGTGATTTGCACTGGGGACACCCATGCCTTTAAGACTGATTTGTGGGCAAGAGGAATGGGAGAGGAATGAGGTCTTAGTTATGATTTACAGTTCACTAGTCCCAGCAAATAGGCCAGTGTCACTCCCAGTTTTCAGGCCAACAAGGATAAGGACCTGGAACATGAAAGGATTTAACAATCAAGTTAAAGGTGAGTTCAGATTTCTAGATAAGACACACTTCAAACAGTGTTTATGCTATTTGGATATCATGCTCAGGAAACCAAGTTAGAAAGAAACGGGTTTCCTTCCATTGCCTGGCTAAATAGATAGGACACAAAAGGAAATCCTGATATAGAACTATTCCTGTCACAGGGAGGCATAGAATCCTGAGTGGAAAATGGAACAAACTTTCCATTTTTTATCCCCTCTCGCCTTTTATCCTTTAGCAGAATTTATTGCAGTGATTTGTTTAATTGTCGGTCCTCCCTGTGATGGTGTGATCCCTGGGAGGGCCACCGGGTCTCCTCTTCTCACCATTGTATCCCGTGTTGGTTACAAAGAATGTGCTCAATCCCTGACAGTTACTGGAAGCAATGCCCAAGTGAATGTTTAAAAGAACACAAGACCCTCATATTAGCAAATAAACTATATTGAAGGAAAGATAGGTCCTGACTCACTTCACAGATACTAGATGAGATGCCCTTAAGTCTTGTTAAGGCCACCTACGCAATCATTTTAAAAGTCAAGATTATAATGATAAGCATTAGAATTGCGCTCTTCATATGCACAGTGCACTTTGCAAATGACAACTGCAAAATATCTTGCTACAGTCCTTAAAGCCCAGAAATAGTTATATTTGACGTCTATGCCAACAGAATGGATATATTTAATACACTGGTGGCTAAAAGCCATGTAAAAATTCTCTTTTTATTCCCCACCCCTCACCCTTCTCTCTACCCATGTAAGGGTAGACCTACCTAGGCACCATGGTGCAAAACTCTACCATAACATCACTCCTGGAATTACCTGGCTTTGGTACGTTTGTACATAACTGTTCTAATGCAACAGCGAGAATTCTTCCCCTCCTGTTTATTTCTCTGAAGCTGTAATAAGCAATCCTGTGTGACATTGCCTGTGGAGCGGTTGCCAGGCAGCAGAAAGAGATCTACAGCAGGAGGCGGGAGAGCTGGGGGAAGAGGGGAGAGCCGCAGCGAGAGGGGGAGGGAGAGAGGAGGAAGGGAGGAAGGCTGAGCCGGTGGGGGCTGGGTTCCCAAAGTGCTGAGCCAGAATTCCAGGTCCTCGTCATCCTTCCTGTTCCCTGAGCATAATGAGCCAATAAGCTGAAACTTAGAGGGGGAAATAAAGATGGAAAAGAAGCAGCTGGAAGTTTTCATTAAATAGGGTGTCAGCAATGTTTCTTATCTGGCGAAGAAAGGGTTTCTTATCGTTTGTTTTTTTTTTTTTTTTTTGTTTTGTTTTGTTTTTTTTTTTTTTCTGTTGAACTTTGCTTCTTGGGAAATGCAGCTCTACAAATATCATAAAAGGGCCGGCTTCTCAGTGGGCCTGCTTTGCTGTAAAGCAACAAACAATTAGCACATAATATCTTCCAGCGCTGTGCATAGGGAACATACACATTATAACTTGAAAGGTTTCAACTTCTCTTGTGGCGTGGAACGGTAAAACACAGAGAAATGGTACTCAGCCCTTTACAGAATATGCAGTATCGGGAGGCATCTTGGTGACCGTGAGCCACGAGGTTTTTCAAGGCATTTCAAGAAGCTGGCTCTGTCAGTGTGAGGCTTTGTGCAATTGGCGAAATTGGGAGCCACGGCTGAATCCCATCTCTTGGCTTTATAAGAATCTTGCTCTAATGAGATTAAAATGATTGGACTGGGCTCTGAGCAGAAGGGGTGGGGGCAGATGGCACGCGGGTCCCTCCACGCTGGCCTGGATGTCCCCCAGCACAACGCGTCTTGCCTTTTGCCAGCCTTCCAAGCTGTCTGTGACTCGTTGGATACTCTCCAGTGGTAACAGACAATGATTTTTATTTAGATGTTTGATTATTCTTGTTAATCAAATAGAACCAGAACAGAAGGTTTGTTCAAAACAAACAATGTATTTACAGATAGCTCTATTTGGTGGATGCACAACTTTAAGGCGCTGAAGTTACTAGTCATTCTTCTCAGAAGATGCACACCCACCATCTGGGAGAGAAAATAGGACAAAACATGTTAAAGTGGCAAGATTATTGGAATGAACTTGAAATTAATGTAATGATGACCAAGTTTGTCTTTTCACTTTAGCAGTGGGAGCTAAGGATGGGAGGGGAAATGTAAAATGAGGACGATCGACTGAAAATTGTGAGGAGTAAGAGATGGGCCCTCTCCCCCATCTCCTGTAGCATATTCAAGCTTCTTTCTCCTGTCCAGTGGCCTGGCTTTTTAGTCCCAACTAAGGTCACGAATGAATCAATCAAGATAGTCAGTGATTTTCTGCTCATTTTAGGAAAAAGATAAAGTGTCAGAAGAAAAATACTCCTTAGCCTAAACCACACAGAGATAAAAAGGAGTTACAGACATGGGACGCATCAAAGAGACGGCCTGCCTAAAAGAAGGCACACAAACCAAACCCACCAAGAACCAGGGCTAGATGCAGGGACAATCCTACTCTGCTGTTTCAGAAGGCTAACACTTTTTCCTAAGGAACTGCAAAATATTTACAGACACTTGACAGTTCTCTAGGTAGCACAGTTGGAGTATGGACACTCAAGCTCTCTGGAATGTCTTATGATTGAGGTTTTGTCTATACTGCACAGCAGGAGAAACTAATCAGGGAAGCTGCTGGTTCGCCTGACCACACTGGTTAATGACCGTCTCCAGAGAGCCTCCCTGGAAACGGAAGATGAAATATCACACTATTTCATGTGAAATTGCACTTTTAATCAAAGCAAAAGGGAAAAATACTCTAGAGTCAGTCTCATAGTTGGGCCACAATGGAAATTTCTACCAGAGTCTACAATCACTGTTTTTTACTCTTTATAGATTTTATCTCTTAAAGTTTAATTTTTATTTTATTAAAGTTATGCATGACCTACAAAACGTCAATGGAACTTTTCCTAATCTCTCATAGTCAATAGCAAGGGATGAAAAAATCCACACATTCTAATGAGCGATGGACCTTCTATGCAGGACTTGCCAAGAAGCAGTCCAAACACAATACTGTGACCTTGAAACCACATGCACCTGCAGCCTAGACATGAGAGATTTCTCAGATAATGAAAGGCCATTTCTGTAATAGAGCTGACTGTCCTGTGTGAATGTTCTAGCGTTGCCCCTTAATTTCCTTATTCTTCTCTATCCCAAACCATCTCAAACCACACAGGGAGATTCCATGGGACTTGTGTCACCATGGGAATGGAACATGAGAGGATTCGTAGGGGAAATGGAGTTGTGTCTCCTGATGTTTGGGAAACCATGGGTTTCAAGAAGAGCACCATTTGGCATCATATCTGTCCAAAGTGAACAAAGGCATCATCCTGGACCATGAAGGAGGTAACACAAGAAGATGGAAAATGTAAGTGGTTAAATTTTTATTACTAAGACAAAGGTGTTGGTCCAGTTAAAATTCAAAGTGAAGTACTTTTGTTGGATTTAACTCAGTTGGAACCGATTAGACAGATTCCATTTTCTACGTGCCGATAATAATGCTTAGGGAAGGACTAAGGCATGGAAGAGATCAAACACAAGGCCTCCTTATAAACACACCTGTGCACAGCACTTATAATGTACACATAATAGTCAGCATATCTTTCCTCATGAGGTTTAGATTGTCGAAAAGGTGTTAACACAATTTACAATGGGGTGTGTTTTTTGTTTGCAGTGCAAATAGGAAAGGACTTTTGATCCAAAACCTTCCCAATGCAGAAGCAAGACATAATTTTCAGGGTAGGAAAGATAAAGAAAAATAGAATCTGCATCTCCTTTTGAAGAATCCAGCTCCAGCTGCCAAGAATAACAGCACAAATAGATTCCTGTGAGGGGATAAGCACCTTTTCAATCCTAGGAGCTTTGTCATTTTTCAAAACTAGTGCATTTTTCATAGTTTGCCACAGTGATCTTCAAGTGGATAAATGGATATGGTCAAAAGCAAGTTAATTCCCACCTCATCCCTTTTTTAAGGATAACAGATATCCCCAAAGAGAAGTGGCAAAAGGCAATGGCAGATGAAGAAACTAGAGGCGCAGCCAGAAAATGAGCGGATTCAGAAACCAATTAAAATAAAGCACAGCTTTAAAAGATTCCTTAAGCCATTCACATGTTGCACTACTGGAAAGACAACGGTTGCTCTCAGCCATTCCTTCTTAAATGTTTTGTTTTTGTTTCCAGAAATAACAGGTTTAATTAAATGTGCAGGATACACTCAAGTGATCCAGACTAATGCACCCAGGGATTTTAAAGTCACTTAGAAGATTTTAGAAAGGATTTTGATTTGCCAGGCTCAGATACTAATGAAGAAAGCTGGTCTTCAGGGAAGGAGCATGAATGCCGTGTATGGCTCTGTTACTGCTGTCAAAGCCAGTTATTACATTATTGGGAAAGAATGGTTTTGAAAGTAGCAAACATTAAGTAAACTGGAAAGGAAATTAGCTTTATTAAACTCCTTATATGTGCCAAGGTACTTTCACATGCATTGTTTCAATTAAATCTTAAAACAACCCTGAGGAAATGGATATTATTGCCCCATTTTTAAGATACAGAAGCCAAGGGTTTGAGAGAGCCAGGAATAGTAGGGCATGCAAACCCAGGGCATCTCCTGGCAAATCTACTTCCTTTGCCGTTACACTGGCTTGTCCTCCATGCTAATGAGGATGCATGGTCACTAAATGCTGCCCCCCCCCCACCCCGAGCGAGAGATCAAGGTGCCTAGTAATACACTAAACACATGCTACACTTTTCATTCAAAACAATGATATCCCTGAACAGCCCAGGTAGAACACAATTGTATGTTAAGGATTATAATGCAACATCAAGCCTTCCACAGAATTTAACAGGAACGGTCACAAAGTGTTGACAATGAGATTTACTGAACTTGAATACAAATGCTAGTTGCAGGAATACACGTACTGTGACCTTAAGAATTATTTTTGTATGAGAAGGGAAAAGAGAGAGAGAGCTGCAAGTCACTCAAGACCACCAAAATGTTGCTATTTATCTGTGATTAGAAATTTGAAAACAAACTGTATAAAAGTCTTAAGTTTTAAAAGGTATAAATGCATTAGGCATGCCACAATAATACTGTCTTTTTCTATAAGCCACAAAGATAATGAATGAAGCTTAGCACATACGATAAGTAGGTTGAACTACCTTATGTTTTATTGCTATACAGAATAACACCCTGGCAAGTCACATGGGTGTTTAGCACTGGACTTTAAGTCATGCGACTTGGGCTCCAGTCCTTTTAACTATGAACATGAGAATTTTCGAGCGAATTGGTCTTTCTTGGCTCCAGTTTCCCAGATGTGATATAGAAATACCCTTTAACGTGTATCAGCATTTATGAGGGTGCAGTAAGTGCGTTCACAATATGTGTTTTTAAATGAATTTATAAAACAAGGAGTTGGGTTTGATTTTTTTTCTGAGGTCCCATAATATTCTAACTTTTTATTAACTGGGATTTATTGAACATATCCAAATCCCAGATACTTCCAGAAGAAGCTATTCAAAACAAACTACAAGAATAAACGAGCTTTTCTCAGAGTTCTCTGCCAAGGACACAAAGCATGTCCAACTTTTTCAGCTAAACAAATGTGACTGGAAATAGGATATGAAATGTGAAGAGAAAGGAGGATAGATTTACAAATAAGTTAAAGCATTTACATAAGACTTCCCATTAATAATGTGTTATGTTGTAGAAAGGGTACTGAGACAGGAGCCAGCACATAGATGGGATTCATTTCTGGTTCTAGAACTAGATAGCACCATGCCTTTGACTGTCATTCATTCCCTCTGGTTCATAGTTTCCTGAGCTATAAAATTAATTGCAGCATCATACCACAGAGGTAAAATGAGGGATGGCCAAAATGTCATATAGCCAAGAAAAAGCAGACCTTTGAGGAAAATCCACATTGTGGAAACAAAGCACCATATTCAACCAAACAGAAAAATTGATGCTCACGTCATCATATCAGTGTAGTGAGTAGAGGGAAATTTCCTTTATTACTATTATTATTAGTATTTCCCAATAACTGTATGTTTATCCACGACACAAAGATACACTAGAATGAAAAATATCAGACTTCTTTGAAATTAGCAGGATTATATTCCAAATACTCTTTTCAGCCTGTTTACTTATATAAAAAGTCAGGGTCCAGAATAATTAGGTTGCAGGAAGCTGGGTAAAAAGAAAGCAGAATGAGATGGCAGATACAAATTTAAATATAATCCGACTACTACAAAAAGGAGTGGGTCTGAATGTAGTGGTGTCATAACACATAAAAAACAACCTAAACACAAAACATAGATATGTTTTTAAAATATGAAATATATATGAAAATATTTCATATACATATGTATATATGTATTTCATATACATATGTATATATGTACACACACATATATACATATACATATGTATATATATGTATATGTGTGTATTACATATATATATATATATATATATATATGTGTGTGTGTGTGTGTGTGTAAATGTATTTAAAAATTCTGAAAACTGGTCTCTACTGGGGAAGTTACCAGGACTGGAAATTGGGTGAAAGAAGTGATGTGAAAACGATGTCCACATTGACTACATATACCTGGCAGTGTATAGATCGTGCCTGTGAGAATATATGTATGCATTACACTGTCATCTAAAAATCATTTTAGAGACACTAATAAAAAGAGAAACAAAAAGAGCACGGGCTACAGAGTCAGACAGCACTGGGATTTATCCTAACCCTATTCCTTATTAGCTCTTTATATTTGAATAAGTTAATTAACTTTTCTCACTGACATTTTTCTTATCATAGAGCAGAGATAAAAATACCTTACAGTGTTGTGATAAGGATTAAAGAGAATGTATGTAAAGCACCTGGAACATATTCAAAATTTAATAAATTGTAATCGTTATTATATGAAGAAGATAGATGATACAATCTTGGTTTTATTTTATGGATCAATGAAATAGATTCTCATTAGAACCCTTTATTGCCCGATACAAACGCCCCCTCCTCCTGCCCGTTTGGTTAAAAAGGCATTGGAGGCTTGGAAAGAACAGAATAGATGTTCCGTTCTTCCAGCAGCCACACAGCCCCCTCTGGCAGGTCATGGGATCTGCAGGTTGTAGCAGAAGCATGTGCATCGTGTGGGTCTTTGGTCCTGAGAAACCTGCATCCTTGGAGCGCAGCACAGAGAAGGAGTGACAACAGGAGGAGTATAGACTTTAGGACGCTTTTTACAGCAGAATTCAGTATCTTGTTGCACACTTCACTCTCCTCGTGGCTTTTTCCCTCCTTTCCTCGCTCCTCTTGGAGATGACGTCGGCGGGAAAGAAGAGAGGCTGTGATCTGAGGCAGCTGGTCGTCCCACCAACGAGTCTCGAGTCTCGGCTACACCACCAAGATCAAACCGTGTAAAATGCCTTTCAATCTGGGAGACTATCCTGGCAGGAAAAAGCAAAACACCACAACTGGCACAAAGTGGTCGGGGCTACCTGACCTCCTGCAAACTGTTGGAATGATGACTCAGAAGCAAGGGTGGAAAGGAAGGAAAAATGTTTGGAATATCAAGGCCTGTATAATACATCAGGGGACAATAGGTATTTTTGCTTTTGGTTTTTAAAAACCAACTGATGAAAATGGCCCAAACACCCTGTACTTAAGGAAAGGAGATGATGGAGGAGATGATGAGTGCCCTCTGGAACTCTACGCCTCCCTATTTAGGAATGGGGTCACAGATGTACATTATAATTTCTTATAATTCCTGTGTATTCAGGGTCACCCTTAGCTCATATAGTATGTAAAGAAAAATGCACTTCTTCCTCTGGGCAGATGAACCTATGCCAGGGAGGATGCCTGTGAAAGCAGAATATGGGTTGGATTTCAGCTCCTCTTGTCCCTTTGGTCAGGCACTCTTGTGCAGTGAACAACCTGCATAACACTATGCAGCAGCCCTAATCTCATATACCCAAAGTGCCAATCACTTGCCCCTCTGTTCTGGCACCTTTGTGCAGTGAACAACCAGCACAACACTATGCAATATCCTTCCTTTCTCTTATATACACAAAGTGCCAATCAACCTGGGACAAATGCTGTGTTTTCCTCATCTTCTTGCCTTTGTTTATCTGTTTTCCTTCCTCTGAGCTCAAAACTGGCCAGAACTATGGTGAATGTTTAGAAATTAATCCTCTCAACAATCCTATTAATTAGGTATTATTATCATGTATTTCTTCCAGATGAGAAAAACCCAGCTTCAAGAATCAAATCAGTCACCCAAGTTTGCACAGCTCATTACTAACATGGCTAAGTTTGAACTCAGCTTTGGATAGCTCAGGAGCCCATTTTTTTAAAGTTTATTTTT